AAAAACTGATATTCGTAGCATAATAGCGATCCTCTATATAAGGCTAATAGTTCTGCTTTTAATGAGTAAGCAGGTCCAATGTTCTCTGAAAAACCAAAAATTAGCATCTCTAAATGATCTCGTATGACCCCCCATTCTGTTGCATATTGGGAATTATCTTTTGAGCTACCGTCAACATTTAAACTTAACTTCACCTATTAGTGGTTTCAACCAATTAATAATTTTAGGTGGCATTGGATGTACCTGAGGGAAATGAAAGTGCCATTCTTGTGCTATCTGGATATCACTTTTCCACTGCCATTTACACAAAATGTTACCTTGATAAAGTTGTGTCAATAATTTCATGGCACGCCACGCAACCTTGTCGTGATACATACCCATAAAAACCAGTAGATAAACAGTGGTAATAATATGCATATATGACCAAGTTTAGAGTAGTCTCTTAAATATGCCCTTGCCCATATAACTTGACTAATATTCTAGGGAGAAATAACATAGATTTAAAAGAATTTTGCAAAGAAAATCCACACCTGTTTAGCAATTGGACAGTCCCATAGGATATGTAGTAATGATTCCTCCGAATTATAGCCAAGACATTTGAAGGCTAGATGAATACTTTTCGAATTAATTCTGCGCTCCATCGGAATCCAATTATTAACCATTCTCCATAAAAAAAAATTATACTGTAAATGGAATGCTTCTATGCTATAAGAACTCACATAGCGATTTGTTAATTGCCATTGTAATATTAGTTCCCATTCACTTTTAGTAGAAAAGTCACCATTGAATGTAGGAACCCAATATGCAATATCATCACTGAAAGGGTCAATAAGAGTACATACAATATCACAAACAATATTTTCTGATAACACTGCTTTTTACTTTTTTTCACATCCCAAGTTTCATTGTTATAAAAATAAGAAACTTTAGTCATGGAATTATTAAGAGAGGAAAAGAATTTACTAGGGGAGATTCACCCATCTAGTAATTGTGGCAAAGAAAAAACCTTCACCCTTATTTTTTTTTGAAAGATGGTTTTTATTAATGATGAGCTGGAATGCCGTGGAGAGTCTTCAACGTTGAGATTTGGAGACTC